AATATATATATATATATATATATATATACAATAGTTTTTTTTTAATATATATATATATATTTTTTTAAAAAAAAATTTAGTTTGCGTTTGTAAGTTAATTTGTAAATTGTAAATTGTAAAAAAACATTAGCAAATAGCATAGCTATATATAATTTTATAATACTTTATAATATTTTAGTAACCTTTAGAGTTTGCAATAGCCTTATATTTTCTATGTATATACATTATGCACTATCTACCTATAACAATTAATTATAATAAAAAAAAATAAAAATTTCTCTTAATAAATTTTATATAAAAAATATTTAACAATAATTTAATTTAAAAAAACATAATAAAAATTATTAAAAGAAAATGAAAGTCATAAATAACATATAAATAACAAATAAATTTATACAATTTAATAAAATTTTATTTAATTAATAATTTATTAATGAATAAGTGATTTTTATAAAAAAAAATAAAAAATAAAAACTAGTTGAAAATGCTAGAAAGCATTTCCATACTCGTTTTCAAAACTGAATATAATAATAAACAGTACCAAAAAAAAAATCATATATGTGAATATTGTCATTTTGATTTGTAGTGAAAATATAATCAAAAATGACTTTCGTATTTAGTGGTAGGAATATTTTTTTAAAATTTTTTTTGAAGTTTATATCTTCTACTATTTTTCTGAACTAAATTCAATGATGAAATTGACGCCCAGTAAAGGCGCCACTGTTCACAACAGCTCAGAGAGCACTTCAGCGCTCTATAAAAAGGGCAGACATTGACATGTGCTATCTCTCTCAGTCTTTGACTCCCTCTCCCTATCAATCAAATGAAAATTATTATTATTATTATTATTAAATAAATATATTTTGATTACCACTTCTTCCGTTGTCTTCTTCTTCTTCTTCATCGTCTTCACCGTCACCGTCGTTGTTGTTGATCACCATTTGTTTCACTGGCGCAGTCGCTGCAGGATTGAACAAAATCACGACTGATTTTCAATTCAACTCAACAAAAAAAACACATTTTCAACTGAATCACATCTTCAACAATGGCTGGAAAAAAGACTGGTCGCAACAAGAAAGCCCCCGCAAAAAACACCAATCAAGAGCCCACAGATCAACACTCCGAAACTGAACAGGAGGTTGAACTCAGTGCTCAAGAAATGGCGTCTCAAAGGGCTCGCACTTCCGCTTCCGGTTCACGTGGAGCACAGTCTGGTGGGTACCAAATGGCTGTCAACACCAGATCTGCTTCACAACGAAATCTGGCCAACAKTGTTGAACATCTCGTGATCGACAATGACAGCGATGAAGACATTCAACCAATCAAAAGACGCGGAGTTTCCACTGGAAGGTTCACTGATGTGTTCTCCGGAAGTGATCCKTTGGTGAAGGCGGACACATGGCTCGGCATCTTCTCATTGATCACACGTGGCTACACAGACAGCGACAGAATCACTGCACTGGCCAAACATGTCACTGGAGAAGCMATGCAGTTCATGGTCATGGAAATCGCACCATTTGCCGATGAGATCACATGGAATGAAGTGAAAGAAAAAATGTTGGGACGTTTTGGTCGTCTCATMAAAAACCCGCTTTCAGAAGCCATGGACAGAGAATTGAGACCAAATGAGACAGTCGAGGCCTACTACAATGACAAGCGTCGACTGCTCAATTTGGCCAAACTGTCCGATGAAAACCAAGTGGCTATTCTCAACAAAGGAGTGGCCAACACGCTCACCCGTACGCAAATCGCCGCCCAGAGACCGGGTTCACCCGCGGAATGGTTGGCCATTGCAATGGTGATCGAAGAAAGCTTGAGATCATCAAAAGAAATGACTCGAAGCAATCGGTTCAAACCGCCGACCGCAACGGTCCAGACAATTGAACCGACAGACAAAGGTCAAAAAGGACCGGCAAAAATTGACAAAAAGCCTCGCTTTGACAAATCCAAAGCACCACCTGCTCCGTGTCCGGTATGCAAACTCTTTGGCAAAAAGAAATGCACTGGAAGCAAGACTGTCCCGACTGGGCTGCCGTCTCAAATCTCAAGACCACCCAAGCATCGACTTCAAGCTCTTCCAGTTCCGGCCAAATGTCAGGCATCCATTGCATGCGCTCACTCTCTTCTTCAGATGTGGCGCAAACACTTCCAACAAAATTGGAGAACCAAAAGACTTCACAAACTGATGTCCCGGTGTCAACGGCCAAAACAGTAGGGCTCCACCACATCAATGATGAAGAAAATCCCTTGGATTTCATTTGGTTCCCAACGCAAGTCGACGGTCATCATCTGCTCGCCTTCCTTGACTCAGGCTCAACGATTAGCGCGATATCAAAATCGGCAGCTGATAGGTTGGGGCTGCAGTGGGATGAGAGGCAGTCGATAGCCATACGGCATGTGGACGGCATTGGGAGAACACTTGGCGCCGTTACGGCTCCAGTGACACTTGAAGGAAAAAGACTTCAATTCAAAATCCAAATCCTGGAAAACCTGGAGCATGAGATGCTGATTGGTCTGGATTTGGCAAAAAGCGCAAGACTTCAAGTGGATTTCGGATCAATGGTTCAGCACAAAAGCTTTGCTTTGCAACCTTTGAATGAATCGCCAGCCCTGGAAACACTTGTCAACCGCACAGATGTCTTCGCTCAAGACACCACAGATGTTGGCCGAATCAAAGGGTTTGAACATGAGATCCGTTTGATTCCAAATGCACAACCATTTCATGTGCGCCCGTTCCGGCTATCGCCACCTCGCGAAGCCGAGCTTAAGAAACATGTGGACAACTTGTTGAATGTAGGACTCATCCGCAAAAGCAGGTCCCCTTATGCTTCAGCAGCTTTTCTTGTCCCGAAAAAAAGATGGCGGCTATCGTCCCGTCATCGACTTCCGAAAACTGAACGCCATCACCATTCCTGAAAGGCATCCTTTGCCACTGATTCGGGATCTCATTGACAAAATGGTTGGTTCAAAAGTTTTCTCCACTCTGGATGTTGCGTGGGGGTACTGGCATGTACCGCTTCACCCACAGAGCATTGAACTCACGGCATTCGTGACGCCATTTGGTCAGTTTGAACACCTGACACTCCCAATGGGTTTGAAAAACGCGACATCAGTCTTTCAACGCGTCATCCGAGGCGTGTTGGATGAATTTCTAGGTCAAGGAGTTGAACAGTTCCTCGACGATCTCATTGTGCACACCACGACTCTTCAAGAACATCTGCAGTTGTTGTCCAGGCTTTTCAACCGATTGGCCGCAGAGGGCATCAAATTGAGAAAAGAGAAGTGCGTGTTTGCCACCGATGAAGTCGCCTTTCTGGGACACCGACTCTCTGCTGGAAAGGTCAGACCATCCGATGACAAGATCCGGGCCATTCAAGACTTTCCCCGACCAAACTCACTCCGTCAAACGCGATCCTTCCTTGGTTTGGCCAACTTTTACCGAAGCTTCATTCCAGACTTCAGCACTATTGCCAAACCATTGACTGACAAAACAAAAGGAAAAGAAAAGTTTCAGTGGGACATCAATGGACCCGAAGAAATTGCATTCAATCAATTGAGAAAAAAACTCACTTCAGCACCTGTGTTTGATCCCACTTTGCCAATTACACTCACCACCGACGCTAGCCTCATAGGCTTAGGAGCCGTCCTCTCACAGTTGTCTCATGACGGTCAAGAAAAGCCAGTGGCCTACTGGTCCGCAAAACTCAATGAAACCGAACAAAGGTATGCGGCCAGCGAAAGAGAGTGCTTTGCAGTGGTGAAGGCCATTGAGCACTTTCGGTTATACCTCGACGGCACCAAATTTCAAGTGATCACAGACTGTTCCTGTCTGAAATGGCTGTTCACTCTTCAAAATCCCAACAGTCGATTGTTTAGATGGTCGATCCGGTTGAGCACTTTTGATTTCACAGTCAAGCACAGACCAGGTTCAACGAATCACGTCGCCGACGCGCTCAGTCGAAGCCCAATGGTCTGTCACATCAACACCGATGAGTTCCTGAACAGACAAAATGAAATTCAAGAGTACGGACTTCGCAAGACACATCTCATCAATGGACTCACCACTGTTCACTATCGTGGTTTGGACAGAACCGTTGTGCCGCCAAGTCTTGTGTCTGAAATCTTGAAGTCATTTCATGACAACCTCAGTCATGTTGGTGCTGAAAAGATGACCAAAATGATAGCCCATCGCTATTGGTGGCCAAAGAGAGAATCAAAATGAACACAACATTCAAGTGGTCAATCAATCGGCAGCCGACAACCCGTCCATTCCTTTCAATCAGCTGATCCAAACAATGGTGGACTTGAAGATCGACAAAGAAGCCCATCAAGAGATGGCCAACCCTCAGGAGGTGCGGGTGACGCCCAGTAAAGGCGCCACTATTCACAACAGCTCAGAGAGCACTTCAGCGCTCTATAAAAAGGGCAGACATTGACATGTGCTATCTCTCTCAGTCTTTGACTCCCTCTCCCTATCAATCAAATGAAAATTATTATTATTATTATTATTAAATAAATATATTTTGATTACCACTTCTTCCGTTGTCTTCTTCTTCTTCTTCTTCATCGTCTTCACCGTCACCGTCGTTGTTGTTGATCACCATTTGTTTCAAAATTTTTCACAAATAATTCATAGTGTTCATAGTCACAGATGTTTTTTTTAATAATTAATTTTAATTAAAAAATTCTTTGTATTTTAATTAGAACAATAGAATATATATATATATATATATAGATTGCAACAACAACAACAACAACAACTATGTTTTCAATTTTAACACATATAATTTTCATAATTACCAATTAGGATTTTCACATGTTTTTCAAGTGATTACATATATTATTGAATATATATTACTCCAACTACAGCATGCTTTTTATTTGTAATCTTAGTATATTTTCGAAAATTTTATTATCATTAATTTTAGAATAGAAAAATCTCCTTTTATATATATAATTATTTTTTTTATAGATCTTAAACGAGAAAAAACTAAATGTAAATGAGTATCGTTATCCATGAAAATAGACTGTTTGACTCATCAGATGGCTATTTCGGAACGTCCAGGGGTGTCCTTTTAAAACAAAGACCCTACCCCCGGTAACATATATACTATATAACATGCTGGCCTGTGTCGTTGTTTAGGCGTTGTGCACAGTATAGGCTACGGCTAGGAGAACTAACTAAGTAACTCATGTGGGGTATCAAAAATTAACTTAATTCTAATCTAATATTATTACTATCGATTGGTATCCTATTGATATTATTATATTAGTAAGTACACAATTATAAAAMTAAATAATTATACAGTAATATACTGTATATATATATATATAATTTATATATACATGTATATATAATTTATATACATATATACAGTATATACTAAAAAAATGTATTACATTAATAGAAATAGATTATATGTATTTAAAAAAAAATTTCAAGTAATTTTAATTACAAATATATATCTATATATTTTTAAATAAACAGTTACTCTATCCGTAACTTTAATTACTGGTCATCCCGTRGCATACCCGGACCCAAACCKTTTCCATTAATAGGCAATGCTATTGATTTTATGATTAAACCACTTTCTGATGTATTTATGGATAACTTTAATATCTATGGCAAAGTTTACGGGTAAATTAATTTTCTATTTATTWATTAWTTTATTATTATTATTAATACTATCATTATTTTATCATAAATAACTTRAAAATGTTAAAATATACAGATAATGTCAAATTAAAAGTTTAAMTTTTAAGTCAACTTTACGCTAAGCAAGATAACTTTAGTTTACTTATATATATATATATTAAGATAGTTATATACCAAGGTTGCGATAAAGGGGTTGGGATAGGATAAGACCATTTTACCGCCCCCCTGAAATCTAAATTTTTAGTTTTACCCCCCCCCYCTCTGGCCTAGAGCCAAAAAGTTAGGAGGCCCSTATTTTTTTYATCTATATAAAATTTTATATTAAACAAAAGAAAAATAAATATTAAATTAGTTATAAAGATATAAATACTTAATTAAATCAATCAATTTAACGTTTTMTACACTAAATAATATCGTAATATATCTAACAAAACACTAAAAACTTAATTGTTTTTATATTTTAAAACATAATAAATAATTATTTATTTACAAATTAAMAAAAAACTTTGCTTCAAAAAATACTAAATATGATATTAAATAAATATTTCATATTTAGAGTTCGGGCATCTCMTTRAGGGAAAAAAGTTCCCTAATAAGTTTCCACCAATTTTCCAAAAAAAATAATTAAAATATTTTATTTTATTTTTTAGCTCTAYAAAGAGATATTTTTAAATAAATTATTTAGTTAAATATTWATTATTTTTGACAATTTTATAATTAATATAATAAATACATTACTATATCATAAATWTTTTAATTAAWATTTTTTTAAAAAAATTAAAMAATTTTAGTTTTAATTAATTGTAATTAAAGAGTTATATATATTTATTTATGCAATTTTTTTTTAAATTTTTGTAAAACTAAATATTAATTTTAGAAAACATTTTGAGTATTGAGAAATTGTGAAGTTGAATTTTTATTAGTTAATTTATTGAGTATTTAGTGTGAATTTAGTGGAAATTTTAGACAAAATTTAGTGAAATTTTAGTGGAAATTTAGTGAAATTTTAGTGGAAATTTAGTGGAAATTTAGTGGAAATTTAGTGGAAATTTAGTGGAAATTTTTAGAATTTAGTGAAATTTAGTGTGAAATTTTAGAAAAATTTAGTGAAATTTTAGTGGAAATTTAGTGTGAATTTTAGTGGAATTTAGTGTGAATTTAGTGGAAATTTAGTGGAAATTTAGTGGAAATTTAGTGGAAATTTAGTGGAAATTTAGTGGAAATTTAGTGGAAATTTTAGACAAAATTTAGTGAAATTTTAGTGGAAACTTAGTGGAAATTTAGTGGAAATTTAGTGGGAAGTTATTGAAAATTTTTAATAAACATTACAGTAMTAATCCCTACTAATAATTTAAACCCTTAAGTATCATAAACTCTTGTATTATAGTTATATATATTAWTACTTTACTAATTATTTWAAAAAAATAAAATTATTAAWTACTTAATTATTAATTAATTATATCCATWAAAAATAATTCAAACAAAATTTTTTAGCTCATATTTGGGTAGTCGACCAATACTTATGGTATCGGATCCTCAGTTAGTTAAACAAATATTTATCAAAGATTTCAATACGTTTGTCAACCGAAACGATCACAAAACATACGATGAATTACAGGACAGATCTCTATTTAATATCTCTAAATCAACCGATTGGAAGAATATGCGATCGATTGTATTGTGAAATTAAATTAAAAAACTATAAATTTTCTAAAATTTTTAATTTTTTAAACAAAATAAATTAATTTTATCGATTTAATTATCAAATATAGATATCGCCAACATTTTCGTCAAATAAAATGCGTTCAATGCATCCGATTATTATCGATTGTGTACAACGTTTGGACGATTATCTGGAACCGAAAGCCCGGAACCGGGAGACTATTGAAATGAAAAAAACAATGGGCTGTCTGACAATGGATGTTATAGCTACCTGTGCTTTCGGTACGAAAATCGACAATACCTACGATGACCGTAAGCCCAGTGAATTTGTACAGAATTGTAAACAAGTTTTTACCACTGGTTTGCGATCGATTATCTATATGATTATGCTATCGATTTCATCGAAATTGTTTAAATTAACTGGTTTTAAATTTATGGCACCATCGGTTGAAATTTTTTTTAAACAAGCGGTCAGTTAGTTTTTTATATATATATATATATACAYAATACACACAMAYACACACWCACACATACATACATACATACATACATACATTCAAATACACATACAAACACACATACAAGCACACACACACATATACAMACACACACATACAAACACACACACACACACACAYACATACATACATACATACATACATACATACACACACATACAAACACACACACACACAYACATACATACATACATACAYACACACATACATATATACAAACACAYACATACAAACACACATACATAATAAGAAACAATTCTAAATAATTTTTATTATAATATTTATAAAAAAAATATTATTATTATATTAWATAGATTCAATCGATTATAGATAAACGAAAATTGGAAAAAGATCCGAATAAACATAAAGATTATTTGCAATTGATTTTGAATGCAAAACACAATCAGGAAATGGGTATCAATAGTAGTGATGAACAACAATTGGATTCAAATCMAAATARTGGTATWGAAATCTATGGCAAACAATCRGATAATACTATAAAGACAACAAAAACAATTAGTGGTAACACYAAAACCGTGATAACCGATACCGATGTTATGGCCTCATCGATAACATTTCTAGTTGCCGGCTACGAGACTACCAGTTCAATAYTATCACTACTATTCTATAAGCTGGCAYTGRATGAGGATTGTCAGCAAAAATTGTTTSASGAAATCATAAAATACGGTCGTAATGATGATGATAATGCTAACACCGATGATAATAATGATGGCCAACAACCACACCAACAATACGATTACGAAACCATACATAGGATGCCATATCTGGAGGCATGTGTTGCCGAAACATTGAGATTATACAATCCGGTTGCTTATATACAGAGATTGGCTGAACAGGATTATACTATTGGTACATATTTAAAAAAAAACTATAAATATAACTATAAATTAAATGAATGAAACAAAAATTATTTTTAAAAAATAAAAACTAAAAATATTTATATAAGGGGTTGTTCACATATTACGTTCGCACTTGATGGGAGTGGGGATGGGGGTGGGCTTAGCGGTTATGGAATTGTAAACGTAATGATTTAAAAAAAAAATAATGACTACATGCTAACAAATGGGGGATGGAGGAAGTCTAGATTTTTTTTTTAAAAAAAAATGCGAACGTAACATTGTGAACAGTCCCTAATTAATTAAATTTATTTTTTAGGTCTCTARAAAAATAATTATTCATWTATATATATATATATATCAATACTAGAGAGTCTGGGCTTAAAAATACCTAAAGGACAGTTCATTGGTTTTAATGTCGAAGCTATGCATCACAATCCCGACTATTATCCCGAACCGTATCGTTGGAATCCCGACCGATTTATGCCCGAAAATCGTGATCGATTGGTTCCCTATACGTATATGCCGTTTGGTTTGGGACCCAGAAATTGTGTGGGTATGCGCTTCTCACTGATGGAAACCAAGASAGCGGTCGTCCATTTGATTAGAAAGTATCGATTTTTTCGGACACCCGAAACCAATTTGCGGCCAAAACAAAAAATTATGCAAATGTTGATTAATCTGAGTCCACTGGATATTGGTATCGAATTGAGATAATCGAAATCCAAATTGAAATTAATTTTTAGTTTTTTTAAAGTTTATTTTTTTTAGWTTTTTTAGTTAATGGAAAATAAATTTTTTTATTTTTTTTACATTTTTTGTTGTTGTAAAAAAAATTATTTCAATTTTTTCTTCAATTACAGTACTTTTAATTATAAATACAGTATTATTTAAATAATTTTAGTTAATATCAATATAATTAATTTATTTTAAATTTTATTTTTAAATTTTTTTAGTTAATATTATAATATGAATAGTACAAATGTTGAGTATTTTAATTTAAAAAGTTAATATAATATAATTAATTAAAATAATTTTGTTTATTTTTAAAGAAATATATTTAATTAATTTGCACTAAAATATTTGTTTAATTTGTTTTAATTATTTTTTTGTTTGTTATTTTTTAAAAAAAAATTATTGTATAAATTAAATGTATAAAAGTATGATATTATAMTATTWWACTATAGTAATCAATATTTWTWMATTGTTTAGAYTTTTATTTTATTGATTTTTTTSTAAAAATAATAAATCAAAATTTTTTRTWTCAATAGTRTTACAGWTTATTAATGCTAATTTATTTTGTAAATAATATTATTATTTAATTTGTTGTTATTATTAATATTACATTTACTTTGCTATTAATATATAAAATATAAAAATTAAAATATAAACTATTTGTTAATCCGTWTTTATTTASTTAATTTATTTYTATGTTAAAAAAATTAATTAKTTATATTAGTATTAATATTATTATCAWATATTAATMCATAAACAAAATAAAAAAAAATAGTATATGTAAATAATAATTTTTATTTACATAATAAAATACTAAATAATAAATTTTTATTGATTTTTTTTATTGTTGTTGTTATACTAAATACAGTAAATATATTAATGTTTTTATAATGTATTTAAATGTTTTAAAACAACAAAATTTTTAATTTTATTTTGTTTTGTCGTCCTAAACATTATGTAATTGTATTATTAGTATTTTGTAAATTTATATATATATATATATATATATATATATTAGSTTATATACAATATATACAGTCATAGCCGGTTTTATTTTGTCTGATTGTATGTATTTATTAGTATATATATTATAWTATAGATATTTTTTTTACAWAACAAAAATRTTATTTAAATTAAWTTTTTTWTWTTAATTTATTGATTATAMAAAAATGCTTATAAACAGTCAAACATAKTTGATTRACATTTATGTTTACATTAAATTTATTACTACTACTATTACTWWWTTATTATTATTTTATTTTTATTTATTGTATYKAATAAAATGTAATRTAWGTGTATATSTAATAAATTWTAAGATTTTTTTTGTTRTTTATATTGTTGTTTAATAAAAATATTAGTAAAAATTATTACCAATTAAAKATATAWASWATAAKATATATAGTTTGTATTTAATTATTAAAATTATTGTTATTATTAAATTAATTAAAAAATTAAATAATATAAAATAATAAATTTACTTAATTTTAATATAGCATTATTTTTTGTTTGTTTTGAAATTTGTTATAATATAAAATTCATATTTAAGCAATATATTAATTAAAAAATTTTATATCAATGATAAATTACATTTTAACAAAAWWACAAAAATTTTGCAACGTGTCTARTAATTTGTTTCTAGTTAATTAAATRTTTTTTCAATTAAATGTAGAAAATATGAAAAAAAAATTAAAATACATTGACATTATTAAAAATAAAATAAAAAGTAAAACTTTCAAATGAAATTATACCATTAAAACAATAATATTAATATTATTYAAAAYTGACCTAATTTTTTATAATTAAAAAWATTAAATATATATTWGAATTTTTTWTTYWAMAAWTTTGTTTAAAAAAATATARATATAAAATTATTWAYTTAATAAAAATWTGAAACGGTACKCAAATTGTTTGACTWTTTATATTGTAAATTATATATTATAACACTATATACATTTATAAACAATTTAAAATTTTATATAGTTTTTTAATTTATTTTTAATTTTGTAAAATTATAATTTTTATTTACTACCCTAAAATAATGTTTTTCCTCATATGGAAATCTAAACAAATATAAAAAATAAAATTTTTATACGGTAAAAAACTCGCATTTTTTATCACCCAAGCTAAATTAAACAAATCAAAAAAGTAAAAAAAAACTATTTTTCAGATTGTACAAAACTCGTATTATTCCCCATAATTAAATATTTTCATATATTGAAAAATRCTTRATTTAATGGCAATTTTTTTTAATAATTGATTGCCAGTAATTTATCTATTTTTTAAATAAATAATTTTATTATGCCAATCTTTCATACACTATTTTTTAAATTTTTTCACTTTAATTTTTAGTTAGAATTTTAAWCAATTTTTTTAGAAACTATATTYATTTATCGAGATCCGTCACAAATTAATATATTTAAAACAAAAAAAATATTATGAATTTTTWAAATAAAAATSTGTTTAGCAATAAATCSTTAGAAAATGTTAATAAAATTCTTTAATAATGAAAGTCATTAAAAAAAAACATTAATAAATATATATAAAAATTCTTTAATRTTTTATTTAATAAATAATTTAATAATGAATAAGTCATTTAAGAWAACATTAATTAAATTCYTTAATAATAYATGTTTTAAAAAATATTTAATAAATAAAATATTTTAYTAGTATTATCTATCGGTATATATATTTAAATATTAAATAATAAGTAAAWTTATTTTCAATTAGTAGAAATATCTATCASTAGAAAATTAAATMYATTATACTGTATAGATGTTTAATTAATTGATTAAAAAATAACATTTTTATTAAAATTTTATTATTATTTTTGTCAAAAATTATTAGAATCAATAATTCTATATAACTTATTCACTAAATACAACTTAACAAAAAGTAAGTAATAATATATTAATAATATTAATAATAATAATATTTTTTTTTTGATAMTATAGGGAATCAGGAGTACATTTGAATCAAATAACACTAATAAATAAATWAAAAAAAATAATAAAAAAATGATTTACATATTACTATCGATTGCTATCCTATTGATGTTTTTATATTAGTAAGTATCCTATTATTATACTAAATAATTATAATTTATATATATATATACGTTATCGTTATCTATATATATATATATGTATCATAATTACATATATATATTATATGTATTTAAAAAAATWTCAAATGATTTTAATTACAATATATAAATATATATACTGTATATATTATTTTGAAATAAACAGTTACACTACCCGAAACTTTAATTATTGGTCATCCCGTGGCATACCCGGACCCAAACCGGTACCATTAATAGGCAATGCTATCGATTATATTGTTAAACCAATTTCTGAGGTATTAATGGATGATTATAATATCTATGGCAAAGTTTACGGGTAAATTGATTTTTATAATATTATTATTACTATTATTAATTGTTATCATTATTGTTATAATATACACACAAGATAATGTCAAGTAAAAGTTTAAATTTTTAATAATATCTTCAATACAGTTAACTTTACGTTAAGCAAGGTAACTTTAGTATAGTATAYTTATATTAGGTTATATTTATWTACAGTACCTTGCTTACAATAATYATTACATAWAATATATTACTTAATTTTTAAACTTTTTAGTTGGCATAAACTATGTATTATAGTTTTATACTAATAGTTTACTTAATTATTTTTTTTAATTAATTTTTTATTATTAAAAAAATTATATCCACAAYAACAACAACAAAATTTTTTAAAGTACATATCTGGGTAGTCGACCAGTGCTTATAGTATCGGATCCTCAGTTAGTTAAACAAATATTTATCAAAGATTTCAATATGTTTGTCAACCGAGAGGATCACCATTTTTACGATGAATTACAGGACAGATCGCTATTTTATGTCAAATCTACCGAATGGAAGGATATGCGATCGATTGTATTGTGAAATTAAATTTAAAATTTTAATTAATTTTTAATTTTTTAACAAAAAAAAAATTTGATTTTATTTTAAATATCATACGTATAGATATCGCCAACATTTTCGTCAAATAAAATGCGTTCAATGCATCCGATTATTATCGATTGTGTACAACGTTTGGACGATTATCTGGAACCGAAAGCCCGAAACCGGGAATCAATTGAAATGAAAAAAACAATGGGCAATCTGACAATGGATGTTATAGCTGCCTGYGCTTTCGGTACGAAAATTGATAATACCTATGATGACCGAAAACCCAGCGAATTTGTACAGAATTGTAAACAAGTTTTTACCACTGGTTTGCGATCGATTATCCTAATGGTTATGCTATCGATTTCGTCGAAATTGTTTCGATTAACTGGTTTTAAATTTTTGGCACCATCGGTCGAAAATTTTTTTAAACAAGCGGTCAGTAATTGTTTTTTTTAAAATTTTGTTTTATCTATATATTATATATACTGTATAATCACACACAAGTGTGTGTATATATGCCTATGTATGTGTGTGTGTTTCTGTCTATKTATATGTGTGTTTTAAACACATAYACATAGACAGAAACACATACACACACACACAYAYACAYAYACACAGACATACACATAGACAGACATATATATATATATATATACAAACACACACATACAAACTTATACAAACATACATACACACACACATATATATATATGAACACTCATACATAGACACATACAGACAKACAMWTAMWTTMAWAKAWTCATAATTTTTATTATTATTATCATATTATTTAGATTCAATCGATTATAGATAAACGAAAATTGGAAAAAGATCCGAATAAACATAAAGATTATTTGCAATTGATTTTGAATGCAAAACACAATACACAACATGGGTATCACATAGTAGTGACACACAACACACACACACACAAATCAAAATAGTGGTATTGAAATCTATGGCAAACAATCAGATAATACTATAAAGACAACAACAAAAACAATTAGTGGTAACACTAGCACCATCAGCA